TTTTTATTATCTGACTGCTTATGCATGTTTACGTTTTAAGCCTGTTATGTTCTTACCGTTGGTGTCGATAATTTCAGCTATCAATTGACTTTAAAGCCACTTTTCAAAGAGTTCAATGATGGTGATGAAGATGAACAGTTAGCATCCATAACAACACGGATAATGCAGGCTCTCCAAAATAACCTAGATGGGAAATCTAAGCAATACAAAGATCCTGCTTTAACTCAATTGTTTCTGATGAACAATATACACTATATTGTTAGATCTGTGCGCAAGTATGTCATGCATTCTTGACATGTTTTGGTCGGGAGTATTGGATGGCACTGGAAGTACTGAGGAAGAAAGAGAATCTAAAATTAGTTTCATTATATTGTCCAGTCCTATCTAATACTAATAAAAAATGCACTCATTGTCTCTGTGTAACGAACTAGTAAAAAATGAGACCAATTTATGGAATGTTGCTATCTAGGTCAGAGGCAAAGGACCTGTTAGGGGATGACTGGGTGCAGATACACAGAAGAGTTGTCCAGCAGCATGCAAATCAATATAAGAGGATATCATGGTCTAAGGTTTGAAGTACTTGCAGCACCTTTTTTCACATGCTCAAGGCACATCATCTTTGTTATGGTTGATGATATGCATTTCTGTACAACTCCTCTTTATTGATGTAGCTCGTGAAACTAGGTTCTCACATGTTTAATTTAAAGCTGGATAACATGAAGTATGCTGATTTTTTCATTTCCCAAGAATGGAAAAGAAAAACATATGATGTACGTATTGCAGATAATTCATATTAAATCTGGTTACTAGTTTAAAAAACTAAAACATCTTCCCAACATCAATAATCCAAAAGAATGAGAAAATGGGAGAGAGAAAAACAAGGAACGATTGATGGTGGAATACCAGAATGGATGCTTCAAACTCTTTCCCCTTTTCCTCCGAGATATCAGCTGGATTCTAAACCCATTCAATTGCAATCAGTTGTATTTAATGGAAAAATCTAGACTTTGTAATGCCTTATTTCTTTTTCTCTTTCAGTATCCATTTCTCATTCTTCATGTAAATCTTTGTTGTCTATTTCTCTTTGTTCATCATCTCATTTCACAACTTTGTTGATGCTATTGTTGCAATAGTCGTTTGGGGTGATATGTTGCAAATGGAGTAGCAATATAGTTGTTAACAGTGTGGTGCAATGCCGAGATTTGATGTGCTGTCAATAGGTAGATGGGTGGGCAATGCTTTACAGGGTAAAGGGGAGGAAATAGTTGATGTGGATGTAATTTGATAATTAAACCTCATTAATGAATACTACCTACGAGGGGTTGGTCATTTTTTAAGTAGCAAAATACTTTTAATTTGTTTCTCTCTCTTTGAAGCTTTTCATGTTTCTGTTTCAAATAAACATATGTAAAAACAGGGAACTAGATGTGTATTTTTTTTCTTGTCTGCCACATCACGAAAGCAAAAACGAAAATACGGAAACACATCAGTGACCAAACCACCTCTAAGTTTTTCCTTCACTTTGTTAACCAAATTCGATCTTGAAAGTTGAGATGGATTCTATTTTCTTTGAATATCATTTTCAATTATATTGCGTAGTCTGTCTTGGAACTTGGGAAAGACTCACTCTTGGTTATGATCTGCAGATTTTGCAATGTCTCTCTATTCAGGGACTTCAAGGTGGAAGCGGTTCATTTGGAAATGGTGGAAGCACTACTCACGTATCCCGGGTAATGATTAAAGACAGCTTCAAAACCTTCAATATACAATTTGAGGAGCTTCATCAGAGGCAGTCTCAATGGACCATTCCTGATACTGAATTACGCGAGTCGTTGAGGCTGGCAGTTGCAGAGGTCCTATTGCCTGCTTATAGGTCATTCATAAAACGTTATGGGTACGCTTTCTTAAGACTCGATAACCCACCCCACCCCAACTAATGTTGATAAGTACAATTTGTTCCATTTTTGCAAAGTTGACTTTCTTGATGATTGACGAATTTGTTGAATCTTATATATATATATATGCTTAGGCCTTTAATTCAGAGTGGAAAAAATCCACTGAAGTACATCAGATATAGTCCAGAAGATCTTGAAAGAATGCTGGCTGAGTTTTTTGAAGGGAAGACATTGGTTGATCCAAGACGGTAGATTTTATTCATTTTTGAGCAAGAACAGGTTTTTAAGCTCTTTTCCGCTTGAGGTTTTATTCATTGTACAGTTTTGGGACCAAATAATTGTTGGTAATGTAGTGCAATCCCACTATGGATAGGACGAAATAATCAAATGTCGATATATAGACTATAATTTTAGGATCTTATGATGCGACTAGAAGATTAATAATAACTCAAAAGGTTGATGTAAATGGAATAAGTAGTCTTATTTTGGTTTGTAGACTTTTGCAGCTATTCACGCTCCCGATGTGCTTATAATGTAGAATTTATGAATTCTTGACTAGTGTTTATCATATTACGAGAATATAGAATCTATCTTGTAACCTTTCTTTTATCCTCCACTTCTCACTATTGGCCTTTATTCCAAATGATGTAAGCAAGAAGTTAAATGATTTTAGTCCTCGAAACACACCATTGGATCCTCCTATGGTTGTATTTCAATTCCTAATTAGATGCCTTCTTTCATTTTCCATGTCTTTTTTTTCTCCCAACTTTTCAACTTGGCTTTTGGTTGCAAAAAATTCCCATCAATGAAAATTTTCATCACACGCTTTATTCCCTTCCACCTTTTGAATTGTCTTTCTCATAGATTGTGAAGAACTTTAACCCCTGTATTTGGAAATGATTTGTTATATTGAATTTTCAAGACATTCCACCAAAAATTATCGTGACTTAGATTGAAAAATTTAGAATTTGAGGAATAGTGTGCATGTGCGATATTCACTCTTTTTCGTCTTCCATTTTTTAGTAGTCTATTCCATAATAGTGAAAATCTTAATCCTGATATTCAAAAAGGTGTGGTTTTATGAAATTCAAAGACATCGCACCAAAAATTATTATGATGAAGATTGAATATTTCATGTGAAGACATATATACATATAAGTAACGATCATCATCTGTTTAGGTGCCAGCGAGCCCTAAATTGAATGTGATACATTTTATTGTATTTGAAGATAAATAAAGAAGCTTAGCATCTTCTACATCGGTGATAATGAGAAATATTTCATTTAAATGAATATATTATTTAATATCGTGCAATTGTCTCATAAACTGGTGCTTGATACCAGTAAGAATATAATTACTCTTATGCACATGTGCACACACAACTAACTCCAATGTGGTACTTAGTTGAAAAGTTTCAAACTCCAAGGTTGATGTTGTAAGGACTTCTGCAAGTGTAATAAAGAAGATTGGAATAAGCTCCAAGTTGCAACATAAAAGGTTGTTTTTTGGGGATCTGTCACAGGGTTTTTGATACAAGGCCACCCACGTCTTTTGTTTAGTGGGCATCCCTAGCCTACTTTTGTACTATTTCAAGATGCCTTATCACAACTTTTCTTCTTCCTTGCATGCATTTTTTTTTCTAACTACTGGTTCCCTTTGTGGGCTTTTATTTATTTATTTTTCTTGTTTTCCTTATATCTCAAGCCTTATTTTTTTAACCAAAATGCATTTTGACTTCCTCTTCTGTGACTTCCTCTTCTTAGCATTATATGATAGATTTAATTGAAATTGAAATTATATAATTCATTTAACTAACCTCTATGACTCTTTTCTTTTTATTTAGAATTTTTCTAGGTTCGTCACCACACCACATTCTTATAAGAAAGATGTTCAATTGTGAAAAGGCTAAATGGAAATATTTATAGTTATAATCATTTTGAACGTTTTAGTAATAATAACAAATCTAATATTATTGGTGTTAGATTATCAATCTAGGTGGTACTAATATGACATTAAATGAAATATAATTAAATGAATCGCCTAATTCTATTTTTTGTTGAGTCTATCATTTAACGTCGCATAAATTGATGTTATAGCACCAATAGTGCTAATACACTGATCTATGATGCTAAAAAGCATTACTCTTATTCTTTATATAAGAACAAACTTGTGTCTTTCCACTAATGATGATTTAGGAAATCCCATTCTTCTTTTTGGACGGTTTAGAATACAAAACATCTATCAATTTTTCATTTGAAAGTTAAAATAACTTGCTCTTGAATTTTGTTCACTATGTTTAATTAAATGAAAATTATGTAAGCGCAAAGTTATTTGTACATAATTTAATGTACCGAATTGTTTATCCCCTCTCACATGCACGCGGGTCGCGCATGAATAAAAAAATACCAAGATGTGACCCCCACCCCCTATTGTGAGTAGTCGGTAAGGGATTAGGTTAAAAAATTCGATACATATAGCATAATCCATTATGTAAATCGTTTATTCGATTCTCGTGTTTAATCTACTTCCCAACTATGTCATCGATAAATTCTGTAAGGATAGAATGCACATTTTCCTATTAATCCAAATATCAAGCAAGTAGATTGAGATGGAAAGTTCTATCATGATAAGTGGACCCCGATCATGGAGGGCAATCACCATCGGACGGTCTTGATTCATCACAAGCACTTGTAATTAACAAGCCTAAAACTATATACTTAAAAGTAAGTTAAGTAACTTCGAAAATTAATATATTTAAAACCAAGTTAAGTAAAATGACACAAGTAAATTTACTTTTAAATTACTTATTTATTTAAACATAAATTTTTATTTAATTTTTTCGACAAGTTACTTGCACTCTCAATCTATCATACAAAATTGGTTAACAATTTTTTGACAGATTGTCGACTGTCAAAATTTAATTGGTTGTTTGACAAAAAATACAGTTCAACCAGTCAATGCAATGTTACCACTTCTATATCGGTAATGCTTTTTATACATTTTATCTGTAGAAAGAGCTTAATTTTTCAGTGAAGCATACTCTAAAATAACCCTCCCTGCCCTCTAAGCCTATATAAATAGTAAACCACACCCTTCCCATTTCTCTTAGAACTCAACTCCACCTTCAACCGCCACATCCTCGACCAGCGCCGCCACCACCACTAGAATCATGGCGGAGGATAAATGCACTGATGACCATGACGAGCAACGGATAATAATCCGGCGATGTTGCAGCGGCCTTCTAATCTTCACCTTCACCCTCCTATTAATAATTTTCCTAGTTTGGGCCATTCTCCAACCCAAAAAACCGCATTTTACCCTCCAAGATGCCACCATCTTCGGCCTCAACGTCTCGTCCCCTAACGTCATCTCTACCAGCATTCAAGTCACCATCAACTCCCGGAACCCTAATTCCAGAATCGGCATTTACTACGAGAAAATGGACGTCTACGCCACCTACCACAACCAGCAAATCACCTACTACAGTGCCATTCCATCGGTATACCAAGGACACAAGGACGCCAACGTCTGGTCGCCGTTCATTTACGGAACTTGTGTCCCAGTGGCACCGTACAATGGCGTTGCCCTCAGCCAGGACAAATCCAATGGAGCCATTTGGCTGATCATCAAGATCAATGGACATGTTAAATGGAGAGTTGGGTCCTTCATCTCCGGCAGGTATCATCTCCACGTCACCTGTCCGGCTAATATACCCATCGGCAATAGCCGAAATACAGGGATTTTCATCGGAAATGCAATCAAGTATCAGCTTTCACAGAGCTGTAGTGTCAATGTGTGATCAAGAAAAAGGCTCATTTTTCTTCCTATATAAGTAATGCAGTTTATGTTATAATTTATAAACTTTTTTTTTTGCTTTTAATTAATGTTTTATGGATCATATAATTGTAAAATTTGCTGATGAATAAGAAGGCAAAATTGTCTGTAATAACTGAATTCTGATTATTTCNNNGTAATAACTGAATTCTGATTATTTCATCTCCACTAAAAAAGTGTCTGGAGTTGTAGTGGAGGGTCTTTTTTCTTGAATTTTATTGTAGTAAACGCTTCTTTATCATGCAAATGGAGTGTTTATTCATATCACTTGGAACACATATGATATATGTTCTAAGATAGACTTAACTCCTTGTTTAATGGCAATTATTTGAAAACATTTTTTTTATATGTACTTATTTTTAACCACAAATTCACACAATACAATATCCTGCATGTAAACAAAAAAAAAATTATTACTTTCTAACCACACATTCTCTTAAAAATTACTATTCCAAATGTTATTTTTTCCAAATAATGATTGTCAAACAAGGGCTTATTCACTAGCATAAGAGGCACATGCATCATTCTACCTAGAACTGGACATGGTCCGGTTCGGTTCTCTTCAAAATTGAACCGGACCAAAATTTTCGGGTATTTAATAAATGGAACCACTGGGTCTAAATATGATTATGGAACCGTTCGGGTTCGGTTCCGTTCGGTTTGGTTCGATTCTATTCGGTTCCGTACCATAATTAAATTTTTTAACATTTACAATAATACTACATAAATACAACTAATTACGTGTTCATTCATTACTTTTACAAATTAAATGCACTATTTAACATTAAGAATGTTGAATTCAATCTAGTAGGTGTCAAAGGATATTTGAGTCACCTTTTGTTGGACGTTTTTCCATTGATTGTGCA